GGCAGGGGGTCGGACTTGATGATCTGCTCAGGTCCCTTCCGACCCTCCCAACTATGAAACTATATACATGCAGGGTCCAAGCTTACACATGAATCCAGTGCTTTTTTCAGCATTTCTGTAGAAAGGATGTAAACAGAAATGTTCTGAAATCTATAATTTTGGCTTCCATGGATCTTGATGTTGAAAATGTGCTTTATCTATTAAGAAGCACTCAAGCACTTTTAACCGGGAAAGCCAAGAGAGACATTTTAAGAATGTAAGACTCAGACTTAAAATGATCACGTGGTTATGATAAAAATGGTCACTAGGACAAGCCAATATTCCCTTTTTCTATAACTTCTTTATCTATTCTTCTGGACATGTCTGAAAATGTTTTCTTCTTTTTTTTTCTAATTGTGGGAACACTAAATCATTGTTTTTACTTGCTTAAGCTAAAACCTTTTATTTGACATTTCAGATGGGTATATGTTTTTATGGGAGGGTATAGAACACCTTGAAAATTATAGGCTCTTTATCTGTAACAATGTGGGAAAATTCTGTTAAGAGTGACAAAGGAAAAACAGTAGCTGTACAGGATGAACTTCTGATGCATTAAATCGTGCACATGATACAAAACTATGTTTCAAATAAGACCAGAAATAAGATGTAAATTCCTTTTCTTGGATCAGGGATTATACTTCAGATGATGATCAACCAGTGCTGAGATTAATGTGCTAATGAACACAAGCACAACCTAATGCAGGGTAGGGACAGAGATTTCCCCGGGATCATTTTTACTCTAAAAAGAAATAAATAGTTGATCTGAGAGGTCTGCTTCTATTCTCAGTAACAAAGAGAAGATCCCCTATAGATTCTTTCTGGTAAATTGTCAGATGCTAGGTTTTTGATGTGGGAAATAATATACCGCCTTGCTGGAGGCTGACACTTATACCTATGGGATCTAGTACATTGACCTTCTCAAAACATTCCAGCTGAAATGCAAATTTTGACATCCCATCCAGAAGTAGGTAGAAAGCCTTGCCCTTGCTTTTGAAAAAATGAATGTGTAGAAACCTGAACTGGGCTTTTCTTTGGGAAGATAGGCTTTGCTGTTGTCAGATATAATACAATTCTGTCGAAATGACAGCTTGTTTCCTTGTAGAGTCCTTTGATCACCATTTTAGAACTTAATTTTGCCCAGTAAAAAGAATAGTATTTCTAAGAACACCAGTTAAACATATTGTAGCAGATAGTGAAAGACCAAACCTGTAACAAAAATCTTATTGTTTAGCTCCTGATGTTATTTGTGTATCTCTGCATCTAAAGAATATTGACCTTGCCACTTAAGATGCAATTTTGGTATAAATAATA